CGTTTTAGCTGATTAATGCATACACATACATGGATTAGAAAATGGTTTTGAGAAATCGTAGTTGACATATGAGTACTATATACAGAAAAAAATTTTAATCAAATTTATTTTACAAAGCATACCATGTTCTCTTCAAAGCAGGATTTAATTAAAATAGATAAAAAATTTATAAAGATTGCTTTCAATTTTTCTTGTGCAAAATGTTCTATCATTTTCTTTCTCTCCTTTTCCAGACTCAATGTTGATATTCTTTCATACTATAAGGAGCACTGAACAAACACTACTTATGAGACCACTCAACAAAGTCATGATACCATTGAATTTGAATCTAATTTAATCTTTTATGCAGTTTAACAACTTCTCTACACATTTTAGAACCTCATTGTGACCATCGTTTCTATTTCATTTTCCTTCTTGAGTACAACACCACTTCCAGACTATTTTGTTCTGAGTTACTGCATCACCAGTCTTCCTCTCAAATAAACCTATACACTTATTTTTCCTGATTTTTTTTTTTTTTTTTTAAATCAATACTTGCATTTCTTTATTTATAGTTGCAAATCTTCAACACTACAAGTAATTTCAAAGAAACCCGATGCTATTTTCTTCTTTTAACGAAACCAGATTATAGTTTCAGCCAAGAATGAACTAAATTTCGTGTTACTATTCAGTGCATCAAATATGTGAATTTCTTTTACAAAATTGTAAACTTTTTGCCTTTGTTAATAATTTTGAGAAGCAATGAAAAAAAAAAAAAAAAAAAAAAAATTGCAAAATGCGTATTTCTCACACAGATAATCGAGAATTCTGTCTAATTATCTTTGAGGAAGGAATGCTACTTTCATGTAATACACTCATGTTCTTAGATTAATTAAATAACCCAGACCAGAATTAATTATTAGTCTCAAAACTGCATTTTGCGTCGAATCACATTAAATGTCCAAATAACTTTTTAGATTGTTGCCACCAAATGTTATTGCCCTGTTTTGTTTTGTTAGCGTGCAGCCCGGTCCACCTTGCATAACAAAGTTTGCTCTATGACCCTATACGGGCTACGCCAGTAGCTATCGCCCTGTATTGTATTTAAAGAAACTAAATAATGAAGAATCTACATGAGTGTATACATGTTTTTTATGAAAAAACAACGGTACCTAGAGCCATCAAATTTAGAATAACGTAGCCTTCCACGCGAATATGAGCACTTGGGGACACAAATTTTGAATTTCAAATTTGTTTTATTTTCTATTTCATATTTTGTAAAATTTTAAAGAATTTTTTATTAAAAAAATTTAGAATAATATGACAATGACTGCACTAATATTAATCCATGTCATATATTAATTCTGGTGATGTAAATGGAACTAATACTCAAACAGCCAATAATGATTTTATAGCAGTATTAATTAATCAATCAAAATGCATTGAGAAGCAAAACTAACTCTGAATTAAGATTTCATTTTGAAGCACTTGCACTCCTTTTTTACTCTTCAGCCTAGCTGGACTACGGTCTGTTGTTCTCTTGTAATCACAAATCTATCAAAAATATAAACATTTTTAAATAGGTACAAATAACCTGCCAAGTTGTCTGTGGCCGCAACATGTTTACTGAAAATAAAATGAAGATTTAATCTGCCTCGGCCGCCAGTTTTCTTTTCATTGTGTATTGGCATTTCAGTATTCTATGCAATCAGTATTCTTCCTCTTTAATATGGATCTATGTTCTATGGCCAACAATACTGTACATTTTTAAGTCTCAGTGTTCCTACATCAGTACTTCTCAGTTTGTTTTTATGGCACACACATATATATAGATATATATAGAGAGAGAGACAAAACATAATTTAGAATGGTTCATCAGCTAATTTTGGATAACAGAAATGCAGTGGTCTTTGGAAGGGAGGGGGTTTAATTGAGTCTGATGTACCTCCTCTTGATAATATTATATCAGATTTGATTGCATTCCTCTTCCTATGTATTTATTTCTGTGATTTTTTATATTTTGGGGAGGTTTTGTATTTCTTTAATTCTTCTGACTTAGGTTTATTTTACATATTTATGGAAAATTTTGAAATTTACTGGTACTGAATTTCACTTCTTTGGGTCTTTGCGGAATTGGATCTAAATTTCTTACTTTTTTTTCATACTGATTGATTTTCAGCAGCATATTGCAGAGAAGTAATTTGGGATAATTTTCTTTTTAAATAAAAATTCCTCATACTATCTATTTATATGTGTTTGTTAAAATTAAAATTAAAATTTGTTTAAATTTAAATTTCATTCCTTGCAGCAATGGCGCAAAGAATTTTTAACTAAATTTGTATTTAAATTAAATTTATTTAATTAAATTCAATTTACTCTTATGAAACATATTTATAGATAGATATATACATAAGTATAGATAAAAGGTAAGAAATTTAGAATCAATTTTACACAAAGACCTAAAAGAAGATATCAGAATATCCTATAAATATGCAAAATAAGAATTACATCTGGTACAACATTATCAAGAGGAGGATACATTAGATTCAATTACAATCCCCCTTCCAATAGAAAACCACTGTGTTTCTGTATTCAAAATTAGCTTATAAACTAATATTAATTATCATAGTTCATCTGAAAATTCTGAAGTCCTCCCCGACACAGGATAAAAATTTGAATTTCATATCAAGCAAAAGAATTTACTTAAGACATTTTTTACTAATTTAAATTGAAATAAAGTACAAACACGAAAATTAAAAAAAAATATAAACTGAGAATATGAATTTAAAACTTACTCAGAGTACGAAGAAGCAATCCAGTAATTAAAAATATTAAAAACACATCCAAATGAAAAAATCCCAAATTTGATAAAAGTAAATAATGTAAAGCTTATTCTTTTACAGAATGCAAGATTAAAATGTAGAAAAATAAAATCTACTAGAAAATTTTGTGATAATACATATTTTGATTTGGTATATATGATTTAAATAAATATACAGTGTCTCACAAAAGTGATGGGACACATGTGCTTTACAAAAGGAAACTATAATAAAATAAATTAAAAAAACATGTAAAAATTTTTTGTGGGTGTGTTTCATACTTAAATTCAGTAACAATTATTACATAACATACATTTTCTCAAAATATTAAAATATGAATTTAATAAATGTTTAAAACGTTTGTTTAAAACGGAGGAAAAAATGGCTCACATAAGTGATGGTAGATACTACTACGTAATGCAATTAAAAATTTGGGGGGTGGGGTATTTTTACTCAAAAGCAATGGGCAATAATTTATAAAATCGTCTGTAGTATTTCTCTCCAGTTTGTTTGGAATTTTTGTGTTTTTTAGCTCTGTGCAGCCATGAATGCTAAACGAAAGAAACTTTGCCTAAATTCAAAATCATTTATAATTTGCATATTGAACGTAGAAAATTTATTAGAGAAACTACTGAAACAGTTAACTTGAGTCATTCAACAGTTTTCAATATCATTAAATCATATAAAAAGAATCATATGGTTCAGGATAAAAGAAGACCTTGCCGACCATCAAAGCTATCCAATGGAATAAAGCGAATTATCGTTCGAAACATTAAAAAAAATCCAAGAATGAGTGCTCCTAAAGTTGCTGCTGATTTACAGGCATTATATGGAGTAATTGTTAATCCTGAGTCTATTAGAAGAGTAATTCGATCTGCTGGATATCATGGTAGCGCAGCCAGGAAAAAATTCTTTGTAAGTGAAAAGAATAGAAAACTCAGACTGGCTTTCGCAAAATCCAACATAAATAAGAATTCTGATTACTGGAATGAAGTTATATTTGCTGATGAGAGCAAATTTAATATATTTCGTTCTGACGGTAGGATCTTGGTGTGGAGAAAACCCAGGGAAGAATTTCGCAAACAGAACTTGGTGCCAACAGTAAAACATGGTTGTAGGAGGTGTTATGGTATGGAAGTGTATGTTGTCCGCTGGAGTTGGTAATCTTGTTTTTATTGACAATATAATGGATCGGTACAAGTATATTGACATTTTAAATCTAAATTTGAAATCTTCAGCACGAAAATTGAACCTTCATAACGATTTTAAATTCTATCAGGACAATGACCCCCAAGCACACTGCTTTGAACGTTAGACTCTGGCTGCTGTATAACTGTCCTGAAAATAAAAAACACCACCACAATCTCCAGACTTAAATCCATAGAGAATATTTGGCAAATTGGAATCAAGAATTCGCAAACATACCATTTCTTCAAAACAACAATTAAAATCGGTGCTTCAAGAAAAATGGGGTAAAATCACAAAAAAATTAGCCGAATTCATCCGAAGAAGATTAAATCATGTTTTAAAAGTAAAAGGAAATCCAACAAAATATTAAAACCTTTTAAAAAGTAAAATTTTTGGATAAATATTTGATGGAAAAGTAAGTATCCCATCACTTATGTGAGCCATTTTTTGCTCAGTTCTAAACAATTGTATTTTTATTAAATTAATATTTTAAGAAAATGTATGTTATGTAATAATTGTTACTAAATTAAAATATGAAACTAACCCACAAAAAATTTTTACATGTTTTTTTTTAATTTAATTTACTACAGTTTCCTTTTGTAAAGCACAAGTGTCCCATCACTTTTGTGAGACACTGTATGATGCGTATGATGATACACAGAATCGATACGGATTCAAACATTTGCTTAAGTTTCAGCAAATGTATAGTAAAAGAAAATATTTTAAACACACTGACTGAAGAAAAATATGCATTAGCACAATTTATATGCATTAAAAGCTGTTCAGGAAATCCTGAAATCTTCAGATACAGTGTTAGATATGCTTCTTTTTTGTTATCCAATAACTTGAAAAATCGGGCATACAATAACATATTAACGTAATATTTCTTTTGATTTTGGACGGTACTTTCCATTATAAACTAGAAAGCGGAAATTCAACGATGAAATGCAAAGTTCCAATATAATACTTAAAAATCTTTTAAATTAAATGTTTTTAGAAAAAACAGACACTTACATTTTCATGGACTCTCTTAGACGATCCATCATATTTTGGTATAACCAATCCATCAACTGTGAAAAAAACTGCAACAAGGAACAAATTTTGGTTTAAAATATTCATTTTTTAATGCATGTACATTGACTTGATAACACAGACTAGACTGCAAGAGTAATTCCGGGTGTGAAACGGTACAATTTAACAAGAAAATAAATTTAAAAAAAATTAATGGACAATCACCCACACAAATTCCATTTCAGTAATGTTTTTCATATGTTCAGCAGACGACCATTCGAAGCGACATCTATACTTCGGGAGCGACTAAATTTCAACTCGGCAGGAAAATTTGATTGGTCAACGGTACACGTCACATGTGACGTCAAAAGCGGGTGTTTTAGATTTACCCCACAGGATTACCTGCCATTTTCGGTTGCTTGTTTTCTGAGCTCTGCAGTGATATTTTTTGGTGAGCTAAAAGAATTTTTTGATAAAATATTTTAATTGGTAATTTAGATATTGTTTGCTTGTAATTAAACACGTGATTACAAATTATTGTAAAGTATTTATTTTTGAGACAAACTTTTTGTAATCTATTTATTTTTCATATATTGCCTTTTGAGAACAGATAAATTTAGCTGGAAATTTCCTTTGTTGAACAAAGGAAAATGAAAAATGTTTCAGAATAGCAAACCGTGTTAGTTTCAGTCAAACATTAAATATTTTATACCATTTTTTGTGTCAAACATTAAATATTTTAATATCATATGCTACCATTTTTTTTGTGTCAAACATTAAATATTTTAATATATATGCTACAGTTTTTATTCATTTTTTAATATTTCTGATGACAAAATAAGTTTTTTATTTTCTATTGTAGTACATAACTTTTTGTTATAACAATGGAATATGAAAAGATAGCAGTATTTGAATGTATGTACTGCTGCAAAAAGTACAAAAAGAAAAAGGTTTTATATGAACACATTCGGGAAGTACATAAAGTACCTGTTGTGGCTGAAGGAAATTTGAAATGTCCTATTAATGCCTGCAATTTTTCATGTAGAACGTTTGAAGAGTTAAGAAATCACGCAAGAGATCAACATGGATACACTCTTAACTCCGTTGAAATGACATTTAATACATATGAAGGTAAGATATTAGAAATTTGCATTTTCTGCGATAAACGTTTTTAATTTGAATTACCCCAAACTGAGTACAAATTACTATTTTTGCAAATTCATTCATCAAGTTGGGGAATAAAATACATCTATTTTTGTGAGTATAATTGATAACAGAATAATTTCCTTAGCATCTTGCTTTTTTCTGTTAGCCTGATAAACCCCCATTATTCTTCAGTAAAAATATTTCAAATAATAATTATTATTAATAATATTAAGATTAAGTAATATTTCTCTTCCTCAACTATTTGAAATATGAAGTAAACATTTTCTAAATAATAAAAACATATATAGAGATGTACTGCTACATAATTATTTATACATGTAATTCAGTGCTTCATTAAAAAAAAAAAGACTATCCTGTTATTACACAAACGGATCTCTTAATGCATATGTATGATGAAGATATCAAAAATAATGTGGACCTAATAAAAAAATTGTTAAAATCTTTATTAAAGTGGCAACCTTCAATCGTAAGTTTAGTATCATAATGATAGACACTTATTTTATTATATGTAAATGAGGCTTAAAATTATTATATGTTATATGTTATTTTAAAACTACTTAAAGAAATTTATTCAATGTCTTAAAATTTTAATAACCTATACACATTGTATCAGTTATCAAGAAACAGGCTACAATGTTTTTTTTACTTTAGACATAGGCCAGATGACACTCATGCTATGGAAAATGTCTGATGACAATTTGTCTCTTAAGAATAAATTTCTTGCATTATTATACAACTTTGGGGAATATGTTTTAAGTCTAGTTTAGCTGGAACATGAGTACTAGTAACTGTCAAATAGGAAGAAAAATATGCCAATGTACAACTTAAAATAGAGTCGTAGCTAGGGTTTTCAGCGCCCAGGGACAACTGAAGGTTTCGCACCCTCTACTGCTTGCCAAGGATGGAAAACATTTAATTCTAAAATGTCGTAACATCAGTTTGGTGCCCCTTCGAATCTGCGCCCGGGGACAGATGCCCTCCTCTAGCTACGCCCCTGACTTAAAATTAGGCAACTTTATTTCAGTGTAGATTTTAAATAAAACTATCAGTTTTGAGAGCAATTAGACACAGGTCCCTCTTCTTGAAGAGAAAAAAAATTCTGCTAAAGTGACCAGTATCTATTTACAATCAGTGCCAAAATAAGATTTTGGTTAGTTTTAAATTAGTAATTTTGTTTTAAAGATTAACTAGTTCACAATTATAATGGGCTTTTATATTGTATGTAGGCTAATGTTTACCCTTCAAATTTAGATTTCTTACAATGGAAAAGTGAGGAAGAACGAAGGGAAAAAATTTCTTACTTTTTGAGAAGTACAATAACTCTTAAAGAAGGTGGGAAAAAGAGTTACTTCCTTTGTAATTGATCTGGATTTTATAATTCTAAAAGTAAAGGTGTAAGAGCTATAAAATCACAAGGTACCTGCAAAATAGAGGGGCACTGTCCATCTACTATTGAAGTTACCAGTAATGGCATTATTAAGATTTTATATTTCCAAACACACGTGGGACACACAGTAGATCTAGAACATTTGCCGTTAACAAAAGATTTGCGAGAAGTGATTGCAGGTAAGTTTCTTTATGAACTTGATTGTGAAATTCAATATAAAACAGACATTATTATACAACATTATCATATAAATGCAATATTTTCAGGTAAGTTAAATGAAGGCATTCCACCACAGAAAATATTAGATTCCACAAGGAATAGTATTAAAGAAGACATTTACAGGGAGCATTTATTGACAAAAAAAGACATACATAACATTTCTAATTCTTACTGTATTGGTAATGATGAACAATATCATCCAACTGATGCTGTCAGTTTAAGGATCTGGATAGAAAAAAATGAAATGTTTAGATGATAATTCAGTTCTTTTTGTAAAATTCCAAGGAGAAGCAGCAGATCAGCACTTGGAAATTAGTGACTTCTGCATCATCATAATGACAAATGTTCAAAAGCATATGCTTTTAAAGTTTGGATCCGATAGCATATGCATCGATAGCACACATGGGACTAATGCTTACGATTTTCAATTATCGACAGTTTTAGTCATAGACGAGTTTAATTCAGGATTTCCTGCTGCTTTTTGCCTAAGCAATAGAGTAAATTTAGGTTCAATGCAAAAATTTTTTCAGTGTATTAGGGACAAAGTTGGACTGCTGTCTGTAAACTGCTTTATGAGTGATGATGCACCAGTATATTATACTGCATGGACATCAGTAATGTGTGATGCCAAATTTAGGATTCTATGCACCTGGCACGTTAAAAAGGCATGGCTGCAAGCAGCAAATTCAATTATCCCCTCAAAGCGAAAGGAAGTTTTGAAATTTTTAAATGTAGTATCTGAATGTCATGATATAAAAGAATTTGAAGCACTGATATCTGATTTCCTCAGCAAACTCTTTGCTGATAGAGATACAGACAAGTTTGCTAATTATTTTGCTTCAAATTATGCAAACAGATGCGAGTTGTGGGCTAAATGTTATAGAAAAAGATGTAACATCACAACTAACAATCATCTTGAAGCACTGCATCGAGTTTTAAAATATTCTTATCTTGATGGATTGAAAAACAAGAGGGTTGATAGGTGCATTGCGAAGCTTATTAATATGGTGCAAGATAAATGGTTCCAGAGATTTATCAAAACAACAAAAGGGCCAAACACATCAAAGATCAACCAAACAAATTTACGACACAACAGAGCAATAAATTTTCCAGCTAATAATATCACAGAAATCAATGAGTTTTCTTGGCATGTGATTTCAGAAAGTGACCCTACTCTTGAATATACTGTTACTCAAATACATACACAATGCATTAATTGTAACATTGTTTGTAAATGGTGCAAAATTTGTAACGATGCATTTGTATGCACATGCACAGATGCCACGATTAAAGGAAGTGTCTGTAAACATATACATGCAATAATTTTAAAGACAAGATTACCTTAATAGAGAACAGTCCAGCTAAAACTAAAGAATCAAATGATGTAAAACTCTTTCTTGATCTATCAGCACAAAAATTAAAAAAATCAGGAACCAAGCACCATATTATAAATCAACTGAGTATCATATCAAAACTTGTAACATCAACAACAGTAAATAATATAACTTTGGGAGATATTGAAAACACACTGAATAAAGTGATTACAAAATTAAAGAACGAAAAGCCGAAATTGAAAATGGTGAACTATGAACCTACAAATAAAAAAGCAGAGAAACAAAAGAATTTCTTTTTTACGAGAAAGAAAAGAAAAAGTCCATGCAGTACTGAAAATATTGCAACAACTTCATACAAGAAAGCTGCTATAGATGCCATTGGAAATAATGAAACTCTTATAATTCATGATTCTTTTGATCATATATATTGATATCTCATCATGTAAATATATTGTATATAAAATAATCTCTAAATAGTTTATAAATTAAAATATGATGAATTAAAAACAGTATATAAATTTAAAATGCTCTTAATCTTGTCACTACTTCATCCTTGCTAGTTACACAAGTAATTTATTAATCAGTTTTTGATCTGCATATTCTGTCGCAGTATTTCACTACTAAATTATTAGTGTAAAGTTCTCCAGTTGATGGTACACATACAGTACAGTTAGCAACATCATTTTACAAAACATCGACATATAATGTGTTTATTAGGACGTATCACAACAATATGTGCAAAAGAACTAAAAGTTTCAGCATGAAATATGCAGTTACAGATTCAGTCAAATATAGATAGTAACATCATATACAGATAGAGAACATAATAGGAATAACAATCGCACTTGATTATTACAAAGGAAAATCATAATTCAGTATCTGCTGACAAATCAGAGCATGCTGGTATTTCTTTAAATAAATGATTAAAAATGCCACAAAAATATAATAAGTGCTTTAAAATTCTTAAATTCATATAAGTGTAAATCTTAGTGTTTTTGAAAATGCTACTGTATTTTGTTATCGAGCATTTTTGAATCGCTAGTGATTACAATAACAATTTATGAATAGTGAAAACTTAAATTATTCCAAGAGAATTGATTAATAAATTTCATACAGTAAATAAATCATTGGGCTGCAAAAGTATGCAGATATATGACAACCAATAACAGAAATAAAAATAAAATCTTTAAAAATTTTATAAAGTGGCGAAGCATGCAAGAGCTATTTATTTATCTTGTAAACAATACATTTTCAGTAGAATCAGTACTTTAAAAAATTGATATATACTTTGGAAACATGCTCTGCAATGTAGTTGTTTTGTGATGAAACTGTTGATAGTGATGCTTTGATAATGCTTTTGTTGATTTGCTCCACACAGTAAAACTGTAGAATTTATGTATACATAGCTCTTGCTTTTATGTATGGATGCAAATTATACAGCTTTTAATTTTTCATGAAACTTGCATACATATTAAAGTCAAGCGACTTTTCAGAATATTACAACATTATAAATCTCACACCTTGAGATTACTAAGGCTTATACACAGATTTCAAAGGAAAGAGTTTGTAAAGTTGTATAAGGGCCTTATTATTATTGATATAGACACAAGTATATAGTTTTCATTAATTAACACACATTGTTATTGATGAAGATCTCTTTAATGATTCTTACATAAAGCTATTTGGATTTTTTTCCAGAGGAAAAACAAAGTTTCATTTAACCTGCGAGCACACGCACCGATCCGACGAACACTACTAGAACACGCGCCGGGTATGTCATACCCGAATAAAACGTTTGTAATTAAAAATTTGCCGAATAAAATTAATCGATTTTTAAAAGAAATTAAAATGTAAAACCAAGTTAATACTTCATTTTAGACAAAATATGAAAGAATAAGGAGAGGTAAAATTATTTACTTACAATATTTTGAACATTGTTTACAAAATGAGGTCATATGTTCCATACATATACTCGTACTTTTGCTACAATTTTCACAAATGTATCTAGTCTTTCTATCTTTTTTCTTGGGGCACTCTGTACACCTCTTGTAATTTTAGGTTTTTTGGGGGGTGGTTCATTGTTAACATGTTCATCGGTGGTCAGTGTTTGTCTAGAATCAGGAACTACAGATGCTCGTCGTCGTTCATTTTGAACATTTTCTATTAACTGCATCCCTAAGGCTTTGAGAAAAGTACGCCTGGTATGGTATTCCGTTGGTAGTTCCTTCTTTGATAGTAGAATTATTCTTGCATTAATGGCAGCCACGTTTAACACTGAAAAGAAAATCACCATAGGCCATCGACGTGCTACTCTTGCTGTAGAATACGCAGCTGCCATCTCATCTACAACATCGACTGCTCCTTTTGTCATGTTATATAATGTAATGATTTCAGGCTTTTTAGATTCCCCAGTAGATTCATCGATTTGATCGCCGGAATGCATTGTGGATAACAGGATCACACTCTTATTTTTTTTCGGCACATAAGATACAAGTGTTGCTTCTTTCTGAAAACCGAAAATTGAAGAATATACTTCTCTTTTCTCTGCCAGAAACTCAGGTGGGATTTCTCTCTCATTTTTACGCATTGTACCTACTATCGTAATTTTCTTCTTTAGGAGATCTTGAGATAATTCAAATCCCATATACCAATTATCAACTGTTAAATTTCGACCAGAGTTGTATAAGGGCCTTATTAAACGTTTGACAACTTCGCTTGCACCAAATTTCAACTTGAAATGGCCCATCTGGTTGTTTACCAGCATAAATTTCCATACTCCAGGTATAAAATACCCTTGCGTCTACAAGAGCAAATATTTTTATGCCATACTTTGCTGGCTTGTTGGGCATATTTTGTTTGAAGGAACAACGACCTCTGAATGATTCCAACTTCTCATCAATGATCACATACTCTCCTAAAGTATAAGCCTTTTGGCAATTTGTGACAAAATTTCCAAAAAATTCTCTGATCGAAGCTAATTTATCAACGTCTCTTCTACTGGGACGATCTCTAATGTCATCAAAACGGAGGCATCGTAAAAGAAAGAGGAATCGGTTCATTGACATTTATTCCCGAACTATGTCCATTCCCGTTCTGCCTGTTGCCCACAAATCTCTTACGTTCACATGGGATGATTTATAAACTCCACATAAATACAGCAATCCAATTAAAGCTTTGATTTCCAACTCATTTGTTGCTTTCGCATCCCGTTCATGAGTGAAATTTCCACGTACAATCAATATAAATATTTGTATTGTCGACTACATGTTTTAACATATCTTCATCGATAAGCAGTGACCAGGAATCTAAAGGTGTTGAGACGTCTTTAGAATACTTCGTATTTCTAGGGAGTTTAGTTATAATATTTTTGGCTCCAATTCTAACATTAGTCCGGAATTTATTTTTGTTCCATTTTACTCCATTTTTTCCATTCCAACATAAAACTCATTGCTACATTGCAAAATTTCCTTTTCTGTTTCTGTATCTGAATCACTACTCTCTATGGATGAATCATGATGACTATTATATTCTTCGTCATCAACATCTTCATCGTCTTCACTAAATGAATCCTCATCAGAAGAAACTGTTTTAAGAATATTTCTCAATCTTTTCATCTCTTCATCGTAAGGAATATACGGCGTCATGCTTACAACTCAAGAAAAACCTATACTTGAAAAAAAAAAGCTTGAAAACGAGAAGTGCGAAGTGACTCACTGAGAAACATGAGTACACGCGCGGGTATGAGATGCCCAAACAATGCTGTTCCTAAAAAACCGTTGCACCTGTCACCTTAGGAATTTCCCCGCATTTAAGTATGTGGCCTTGAACTCAGCTACACCAAGTTTCGTCCTTTTATGAAAGAATAAGTGATAAATATACAAAAAGAAAAATGCCCATGGGTATGACATACCCATTGCGTGTGCTCGCGGGTTAAGAAAATAAACCATAGAATATTCTTAATTTTATTATAAACTTTCATTACATCACATGAATCTGTAAACACTGAACTAATCGTTTTCAATTTAAATCACAAATGTATTCTTCATATTGATTTATTGACAGTATGAATAATGACCAAAACTTAATATTATCTGTATATAATAAGAAATCATTGATACATAGGGTAAAAATAAGCATGAAGTTAGACTATATTAGCATGCTAATGGATCAACTAATGGCAAAAGACTTAAAAAACTTTACCTAATCATTTGTACAAGATTATTTAATGAACACAAAATGTATAGGAGTTACTCCAACCCTTTTTTGACCGCAGACACATTCTAACATATATTTGAGATCTTGTACCCTTATGACTCAACATTCAAGCAGATTTCAGGCATGATAGACTTTTAAGTGCTTCTTTGTCATGAAATTATCTTATGATCATTTCATTCAACTACTACAAATCAAGGAAAGGAGAATTAATTACCAGTGTTTTATACTTTTAGCCACTTGATAACGTTACATAATATGGATTAACTCAAAGCAAATTCTACTGATTATAATCAGATAATTGCATATCTCTTCTGAGAATTTAGATTCTTCCGCATTCATTTCTTTGCAGATCTTGCTCTAAATGGATTTCAATACATATTTACCACTAATAATCGCAAATGATAATAAATAACAAATTAATTTTTATTCTAAACATGATTTGGGGTAGTTGCATAGGCGTTTTCGTGTTTTTTCCTCATGTGTAATGTGTATATGAGCCAGTTTCCCTTAGAAAGTTCTCCAGGAAGCCATCCTTCCTTGTAGGCAGTTAGCTCTCGAGTGTTTTAATCAAATAAAAACATATTTTTAAACTACAATATCAAATTTTGTATTTTGTCCTTATTTATTTCACTAAATAATTAAAGTCCTCTTTAGTACATACACATATCAGGCGCTATTTTATCTTCATTTACAAAATAAAACAGTTGAAGTAGTTTTAGGACTTTTCTCTCATGGGGAAAAAATATCTGCATTTAATCCATTTGCTTTATGAAAACTGAAGTTTTCATACCAAACGAACTTCTTACAATATAACCTTCCTTACGAACTCTCTTATTTACCATATAAACCATTTCGGATCTTTGCTTTGGTAAATGGTCTAAGGCCTTTTACCAGTATATGGCTGTCATAATCCCTAAGGAAGCATATTAGAAAAACAAAACGGTCAGCTATACGCAGGGTTTAATTTCAAAAATTAGAAGTACCAGAGCCCTATAGAAGACCTTCAGGAAAGAGGAACAAGAATAAATAAGAGAATAAGATGACTAATCAAATCATTAACAATTAAAAAATTAAATAATTCATTATTAAAAAAATTAATGGTTAAAGTAATTAAATAATTAAAATTTAATAGTATGCAAAGTGATAAATTAGAATTTAATAAGCAATTTTTAATATAATTTTATTATTAAAAATAAAGTTTCCAAGACCAGATTTCTACTGAAATTATTGTTCAGTTACATAAAAGAAGTGCTAAAGCCTTCTTATTTAGGGCTCCGGCTAAAATTATGAATTTTTCCTAAAACTAAGAAGTATCGGAGCCAGCCTCCGGTGGGCTCCGACGCAATTTAAGCCCTGGCTATACGGATATCTTGGTAAAGCAAGAGAAGAACCCATCTTTGGTCATGACCAAACATGGCGCATGATGTGTTTTGATTGTAAACCACATGAGAGGCGGAGTTTAAATACGTCAAAATGACGTCACCAAAGCCAACCAATCAAAATTTCCTGCCAAGTTGAAATTT